ACATTAGCAAAAATCTACATGATATTGAGATGCCGATGGCTGATGCTATTCGAGCCGCTGACTGTGTGCGCCTGCCTGGCTGGTCCACACACCAGTCTCAACACCAACACAGCCAAATTCCTGGCCATGAAGAGATCGGCTCATTACGGTGCCAGGAGCGTGTGGCGGCGACGTCCTTAGATACAGATTTCTTATCATTAATTAAACTTAAGCATGTTAGCTACCGTGTTCACAGATATCAGGCGCACTTGGCCGCAGTCAGTCTCCCTGGGCCTCAGGGCCCCAGTCGATTGATCTCGCCCAGCYTCTGCTGCGGCTGCGGCTGCGGCACACGCCTTATCGCAGACATGCAATCACCCAGCACTTGGCGTCCTCCTCCTACTCCTGCTGCCCCCTCTACCGACGCGCGAGGGACTCAGTCTGCAGCTGAGCGACTTTATTTGTGATCCACACTCGAGCAACTCCATTGAGTTGAATATTTGGAAACTTCATTTTAATTACTTGCTCTGCAAGCGGAAACAAATTGCCAGCAGCTACGGATAACATATAGATGCTATATCATCTGGATACCCATTAACACTCACACCTTGCTTATTCCTTGCAGTTGCATTTTTTGCTGATGTATACGCAAAATAAGAGGAAACATCTGCGAAGTTAAAATAAATTAAATATTATTTTGAAAGTCTTCGAATTTAAATTATGCCAGTTCCTAGCATAAACAACTTGAACTACTGAATCTAAACCTATAGTAGATTTTAGATCCTCATTAATGACAGAATAAAGAATTAAAGAATTTCACAAATAGATTTTTGTATGAAATATTCCTGAGTTTAAACAGGAATGAGTTGAATTGATGAATGATTAAAATAAATTCCTAGCACTATGAACTGTAATATCACAAAACTAAATTACTAAATCATGAGGGTATAATTACATAGAGATTTTAAGGGGATAGTTGATTTATTTTAGGTCAAGAATCAGTTAGGCAGTTCTTGAGGTTTGTAAAACAGCAAAAAATTTTAATTATGTTATTTTACAGTTCTTATAATAATTGGAGTGCAGAAGGTGTCCATGTAGCCTTTTAATACTCGCTTAAGGTTTTCGAGCAATAAAATTAAATTCAAATAATAAAATCTAGAAATTTTGACAGATCGGAACGTTTAAAGATCTTCGATTGCTGAACTGAATCGAGTGTATTTATTTCTTATATACAATATATCACTACTTTTAATTTTAATTATAGCTTTAATTTTTTTTTATTATTGTATTTATTTTATTATTTATTTTGCATTTATGAATGTATTTATTTCTTAATTTTATATGAATTACCATAAAATATTTTTTTTTGTATACTATGGACTATGACTACTTTTATATAGATATACTAGACTTTTCTGAGTAAGGTATATAGTATTTAGAGTATAAAAAGTATAGAGAATTTTTCATGTTTTTCATTTATGCTGAATATTTTCTACAATTTGCTATTGGACTTATTGCTATTGCATGAAACCAATACACTCTTTTCTCCCATTCAATGCGCAATGGGCACATAAATACCAATGAGCAGTAAAACGTAAATAGTATTTAAGTATTATGCATAAAGTGGTGGAGTCCAACAGCTTTTTACTGCAACCACGTGTATTGAGCACGATTTAGTTAAATTTGAGGTAATATTTGAATGCGACTAGCAAAACAATATTTATGTTTCGGTTTCGCAATAAAAAGCTAGTTGGAAGAAAGTCTGGGGCTCATATATATATTTTCGACATAAAAGGCGAGATTTGATGTCCAAAAATTGGTGCCTGGGGCTCTGGCCACTGCGCAGCCGTTGTCAACAATGTAATTTATCAGGCAGGCGACATAATTACCTGCCACTTATGGCAATAAAAAAACGTCCAGCCCATGGCAGAGACCACAAGACCGGGACTCTCTCTCTCTCTCTCTCTGTGTGTGTGTGTGTTTGAGTATGTGTGTATGAAGTGGCCAGGAGCTGCATTCAAATGCTGTCCACAGCCAACGACAGCAGCAGCAGCAGCAGCTAACAGCTGAAGGATTTATGTTCTGACAAAACGCTCCAAGGCGCCAAACAAGTGAGCCACAGAGAAGAAGAAGAAGAAGAAGAAAAAGACGAAGAAGACGACGACGGTAGCGAACCGATACGTACTGAACCGATAGATTGATCGTCCGTCGGGCGGTGTCCAGCACTGGGGCGGGCAATGGGGCGTATGTGCTATGAAAATTCCCGCCGCTGTGGCAGCCAACGTTTAGCGCCTTCCGTAAGTTGTTGCAACTGCAACCGCAACCGATTCCCACACCAGCTGCGGCAGCTGCGCTTTGATCTGTGTGCGCTCGAAGGAAGCTGTGAAGTGCTTGCAAATCTCTACCAGCAGCAGCAGCTTCGTGTCGTTGTTGTTGCTGCTGTTGCAGTTGCAGTTGCTGCTGCTGTTGCTGTTGCTGCTGGAAGCGTTGACAAGTCACATGAGCATTGTGCTGGGCTGCATGCAACATGGCCCCAATGCGGCTATTGTCTGTGATGCATTCGAGCAGAGGGCGGCTCTGTCGCAGCGCAGCTCGAGTTTGGGTTTTTGCAAGAGCGTGTCCATGTGTGTGTGTGTGTGTGTGTGAATGCTCCAAAGGAATCAAGAAAGGGCGCAACAAGTGAGCAACAGGCACTCACTTCTACTGAAATAGGTAAGAATCAGCAGAGCAACTGGGAACTTGCGAATTAGAACATCTGTAAACTGAAAATTCTCTTATTTACATGTAATATCAGTACATTTTGATTGCTGCTTGCATTAACAGTCTGCTCTTCTATGTTTACATTTTTTTTACTCTTACTTACTTTCTTACTCCTTTGCATCTTTCTCTCTCTCTCTCTCTCTCTCTCTCTCTCTCTCTCTTTTACTCGTCTTCTTTTTATCTGTAATACCCTCTATCTCTTGTCTTTTTTATTTTTTCAACTCTTTAACCGATTATTTTCTCTCGTCTCTATTAATTCTGTTCTGCTCTCTCTTTAATTGATTGTTTGATCTCTGATGTTCTCTATCTCTTTAAATCTTCTCTATGTCTTCTTAACTATTTTATTTTCTCTCTTTTTGTCCTTATTCAACTTCTTACTTCAACGTCTCCTTTGTATTTCTTCGACTGATCGCTCTTGTTTAAAGTTTTTTGTTTTCTCCATATCGCTCTTTTACTCATGTTCCCTCTCTTCTCATACTTATGATTATTTGTTCTTAAGCGGGTATGAAGCAGTCGGTAAGCGCGTATGGAGCAGTCGGTCGCCTCAATTAAACAACTTCAATTTATAGTCTCAATTATCTGCCAATCCTGGTTCAAAGTATCGCTGAATCTTATTTGATTGTCTACTAAATATTTATATATTACAATTATGTTCCGTCTTCAGTATTCTAGTTTCAAATTCATGGACTCAATTTGACTTTGACCTCGCAATGATGCAGTGAACTCACCTGTTCGGGCTATCATTTTGCCGTTAGACTCTGCTCGCTGAGGCTGACTTCCAGAGGCAACAACAAGACACAAGAAGCAARAGACAAACAAACAAACACAGCAGCCAGACAAATTCATATTTTATTGGCTCTGACCATGCCCGGTGAGGCAGCATTAACAAACAATGCTCCAGCAGCAACAACTGCAACAACAACAGCGCTTGCAAGTACAACAACAACAACTGCAACAGATCAATGCAAAGCAAATATTTTCACTCGCTGGCTTGGCTGTTGCCTAATCTGAATTCAGCTTCTGGTTGCCTGGCCATTGTATTAGCTGATGTTGTTGTTCTCTCGTTGTTGTTGTTCTTGTTCTTGTTGTTGTTGTTGTAGAGAAGCAAATAGCATTTTGAACATAATTTTCATATGTCGGCCTGGCAGTTATAATCACGTTCACAGCTCGTTAGCCAAAAGGCAACCACAACCCACCTGTAGCCGCTGAGCGGCTGAGCTGTTGAGCTGCCCGTTTGGCCATAATTGTCCGGGCCACATATCGTACATAAGAGGCCATCAGCATCATCATAGCCATATTGACCATTAGCCGAGTGCGTTTGCATTTGTGCATCTTCATCGATTTCACCACTTGGCGCGTGGTGCGCATAATTGGCCAAGCCGGGTCAACACAGCCACAGGCAACAGAGGCAACACAGGCAACAGAGGCAACACGGCCAACAGAGGCTACAACACGATTTTTTGTTGCTGATGATTACCGATATTGCCAGGCAGTGAGAAATGCGTTGGATGCGTGGAAAACTTTTGCAGCAGCGGAACATTTTCCTTCCCAAAAAAAAATTAAAAAAAAAAACAACAACGAAAACAACAAAAATCTGCTGAAAATATGCACTTGCCAGCGCTTGGCAGGAATTCCCATTCGTATAACGAAGCATTCGAGCACCCGCTTGCTATGCGGCTCCAAAATGGAAGCGGGCTTGCACCCGCAGCTCAATTTTCCGCCTAACAAAATAACAGAACAACCGCAACAAATACCCCAAATTGTATATAAACACTTTGTTAGCAGCTAAAATTTATATGGCTGGCTGAATATCAAAGCAAGACATAAAAATTACGTAATTTTAAATGAAATCGCTAATTAATAGCTAATAAAGTAATTATTTGTATACGGAGTGTATGTTTATACATAAACACCTACAATTAAAATCAAATTTTCATAATAAATTTCAAATTTAGCGCCAAGTGCGCTCAGCTGTAAGTTTACAGCATTGCCAGCTAAGTAGGCGATCTGGCATCACTATTCGACATCAACAACAAATCGTGTGGCAGCACTGCACACGCCTGTTACACAATAACAGTTTGCTCTGTTAACATGACTGTTAACCGTGTTGCTCTGCTGCTGCCGGCCAAGCAATAGCAATATACCAATACTAATAGACTTCTCCACCAACAACGGCAACGATGACGCTGACGCCAACGCCGACGCTGGCAGTGAAAGCTCTAGCCAAGCGCCGCTTGCTGCTGGCTGTTCCAGCATTGCAACCTCAGTCGCTGTTCATTTTCTAACGGTAACGGGTTTGCTGCGCGTCGTTTAAGCTAAAGCTTGCGTCGCCGTTGCCGCCGTAGCTTTCTGCTACACAAACAATAATAATAAAAAAAAGCGCTAGACGAAATAATAATAGTTAATAATTGGCTGCCATTGTTGTTTCAGCTACTGTTATTCTGCCTGTTTCCAGTGGTTATTTAAAGTAAATAGATTTGTTATCAGTCAAATATAAGCAAAACCGAACAGTGCCATAAAAATAAAAATAATTTTACAACGAAAATCCTTAGTACACACACTCACACAGAGACGCACAAGTCGCGTGCTGTGACTGTGTGCGTGAGTGTATAGAAATGCTTCAGTGCAGCAAGTTTTAGCGCATGCGCCTTCGTCTCCCCCCCTTTAGTAAGTCGCTGCCAAGTTTTTGCATTAATTGTTTTCCGTCGAGCCAAAAAGCATTTAAATTTACCAACACCAGCACTGCGAGCGGAGAAGCTAAGGTAAGGAAGGGGCGGGCATGATTTGTTTATTAATTTACAAACATTTATAGGCTAGGCTCTGGCTCTAACCAAGCGCAACGCGCTGTCGGCTACGCCGATGTCATCGGCGTCGTTTGTTTGACTTATGCCCCCTCAACCCACCCTCGCACCCAACAGCCGCCCACAGCCATACAACCAGTTAAACCAGCCAGCTAGCCAGCAGGCAGCCAGGCAGTCAGCTAGCCGCCCGTCCGCCCATCAACCATGCTCCACCTACACCCGCACATTTACTACGCGCGCTTGCCGAAAAGCTTTTTCCAGTTGTGCTCTGCACCGTTGTCTGACATTAGCGTAAGCTTTTTCTTTCATTCAAGTTGTTGGAGCGTCGTCGCTGGCGACGCGAACGTCGACGTCAACGTCGTTATGTTGCGTGAAAGTTAATTCCGTTTACTATCGGCATTCATCAACATCATCTGCGGCGCTGTCGTTGGCGTTAGCGTTAGCGTTGGCGTTGGCGTTGCCACTTTGCCATCATGCGTCCCTCGTCCCCCTGGCAGTGCTCTTACCCCTGCCACCTGTCAATGCGCTGTCCTTAGCCCAGCGTCTTTTTGCCGGCATTAGCATTAAGCATTTAAGTCATAATTGACATGCATTTGACGATGTATGCTGACAGATAACTGTAATTTCTTTTCTCTCTCTCTCCCACTCTCTTTCCCTCTGTCTGTCTCCTTGTGCTTAATCTAGTGATGCCAAGGCTTTAGTCTATAATGAAAGCCGTTAAAACTGAGAATATGCGAGCATAAACAAACACTTAAGGACTTGCTTTTAGTATGAAATACAGTTTTATTTAGAATACATTTTATATTCTATAATCTCCCCACATTAGTGCAGGCTATTAGAGCAGCTTGCAAGACTGCGAAAGCATTTACATTTCTAAGGTCACTCTTAAATTCAACGTGTAAATTACATTTGAGAGCACTTAATCCGCTTTTTGGCTTAGCATTTGCAGGAAGACAGAAGCCCAAATTGCGCTCAACTTAAACTTAATCAGAGCGTCGAGCAATTACTTGCATTAGGGAATGAGAACATTGCGCTCGTCCGCATCATTCAGTTAGCTCAACTTCGGCTTCATCTTTGCGCTCCCCCTCTCGGTCCGTGCACCTTTTGTCATCACGCCTTTCATCAGCTCGCAATGGAGCAATGGAACCGAGCTCTGGGCTGGGTTGAGTGGAGCTGAAGCGGCCCAAGAAAGATATTGCACTTAAATTGCACTTAATGAAGCTGCATCATCACATTTTGCATTTCAACCAGCCAACCAGACACCTCTGCGCCTCCCCTGCTCTCTCTCTCTCTCTCGGCTTGCCCCTCTCCCCACCTCTCCTGCTGCTTGTTAGCCTCCCATTCATGGCGTACGTGAGCAGATTCTTGACTTTTGTGGAACAATGGCAGCCACTTGCATTCAACAGACAAATGAGTGGAAATTATGCCAAGACACTGGCAATTAATAAGTAGAAAAGGCGACGACGCGCCGTGCCATGATGACGTTCTCGCTCACCTGCCTTTCACAGAGATTACAGAGGCCCGCAGTCGCACAGCAGCTGCACACATTTCCATTTGTCGCAGTTGCCTCGTTCGGCATATTTGCCTGATTTGGAGAAGTGGGAGGGGCCGTAGGCGTGGGCGTGGTCGTGGCATGGAGTGTGTCTGTTTGCCAGCGGCAGTACACAATAATAATCCCAGCATTGGCCACAATCAGCACTTGGTAATTGTTATGGGGCAACTCGCCCCAGCGTGCGACTGCCATGAGTTCAACTAATATACATAAACAGGCACGAATGGCTGGCATGCTGGAATCGAACAAGCACGAACACACACATACACCCACGCACACACACATTCATACACAAAGAGTACAATCAATATAAACGCATTTTCATAATTAATCAATGCTGAATAATTTGTCAGGTCGGGTCAGGTCAGTTCGGCATGTTGACATGGGGTAGATGGGCGCTTTATTGGGCCTGTATAGAAATCTGAAAATCCACGTGTGTCCACATATGTGTGAGTGTGAAAGTGCGTGTGCCTGTCTCTCAGATTTGTTTTTGGCTTTTATGGCGGCTTTGCGGTTACCCACATAGCATATATAAATATGAAAACTCAATAGCGGACTTATAAGTGGGCGAGCACGGGCACCAATAACAATAATAACAACAACAACTACAGCAACAGCTAGAAAAACACCTATAATAATATACAGAAATAACAAGTTGGCTTAAGCTGTGTTGGGACTGAGAAAAACAAAGCTAAACCAAATTATTTTGCCTGGGTGTATCAAGAATTCACAATTACTTGGAGTGGGAGCTGAAATTGAGAATATAGTTAACTAGTACAAGATTGGAATTATATTAGATGTATATTTATGTACATATATACTCGTGTATACTATATATATTCATATGTATTCAATTGAATACCAATATATAATTAAAAGTATAATATCAACTATTTAACTTATTGTATTAGATGGCTAACAAAAATTAAAGCTTAAAGTTTAAATTCGTGCTACAATATTCAAAAATGAAGTATGATTTTCCGATTTGAACATGGGATTTTGTTTGAATTGCTGTCTCATCATAACATCAGATTACTAACAATTAAAGTTTAAAGAAAAACCTATTATTAAATATGCAAAATTGTGAGATTCTCAATATTTTGTCAGCAAGTAAAAAATTCAGAGTTGGACATGAGCGTATACGCATTGAAAATCGAAAATATCTTTGTTCCTTTCCATGAACTTAGTAAAACTACAATAATATTTTTCATGACTTTATTTATGGTCCATATGAGTTTTCTTTGATCTGAGCAATTCATGCATTAGTTATACAATATATTTATATATTCATTCTTTTCAAAAACCATTCATAATATATATTATTATATTATGTCAATGCGTCAAAGATGGAGACATATGTAGCTCAGTAAAAAAGTAAGTCAGTATTAATATTTGTATTGTGCAATAGGATTTCAAAACCAAATATACTGGTGTTCTTTATTGAACTGTGTTTTTAAGTTCGTTCTATTTACAAAGCTATGTAATTTTTCTTCAAAAAAAAAAAAAAAAAAAAAAAATCAACAGTAAAAGCAGAGAACTTACTTGAGATATACAGAGATATTTATTGAAATATTAATATATTAGTTTTAATATATAGTATACCAAAATTATCCTCTTACATAACAACTTCAGCCAAGTTTGCATTCCAAATCCAACAAGAGATTTGCTTCCATTTGAGTTTCTTTCGAAGCAAAAAACTAAATTGAATGAGTAAAGCATTAGCACTGCCTGTATCCACCCTTGTGTGCGTGTGTGTGTGTGTGTGTGTGTGTGTGTGTGTGTGTGTGTGTGTGTGTGTGCTGTGGCATTATGTATATTTAAAGATCATTAGTGTACAATTTATAACTAAATGCGGTACATTATGTAGACGCTTTATATAAGCATATATCGATTGCCACCAGTTGAGCGAGCTGCCTGCTTAATGCGCACATCGACGGCAATGCCAACGCCGCATTGTTAAGAATGATTAAGAGGCATGCCACACGGATTGGCTCATGGCAGTGGGCTGTGCTGCCCCACTGGGGCACTGTGGGCCACGTGTGGCGGTGGCAGAGATTGCGTGGACGCGAACTGCTTGGCATCGCGCTCCGACTCCAACTCCAACTCCGACTGCTGCTCCATACCAATCCGACCAACCGTTGGCCGGTGGCAAGTGGTTGCTGGTGTCAAGGCCAAACGTTTGCGCCATGTGATTGACAGGTTGTGTGTGTGTGTGTATGTGTACGTGTGAGTGTGCCGTGTGAGCTTGTACTTATCGAAAAATAATGGAACTCGTATAGAAGTAGTTGAATAAACAATATTCCTCTTTGACATTCACTTTCCAAATAATCATGGGGCACATGATATATCATTTGTGGACTCTCGAGTGAAATGTATATATTCAGAATATAGTGTATATCTCGATAAAAAAAAAATTATTTAGGTTTTGCATAAGATTTGCCTATCTTAGTTGATTTTGTGAGAAGCGCATAGAAGAGCCAAGAGAATAATTGATTTATAAAATATAAATTTGTGTTATTTTTTTTTCTCATTTCATATTATTCATTTAAAAAAAAATTAAATTTATAAATT